TAAATAAATAAATACTCCAGTATTTTAAATGGAAAGAATAGACAACATAACAGCTATGTACCCATCACCCAAGTATGACAGGTGTCAACGTTTTGCAGATTTTACTTCAGATGTTTTTTCTCTTTGCTTTTGTTCTTTTTCTGTTTGAGAATAAAGCATTGCGACGATGAGGCCTCACGGGGTCACCATGTCCCCCTCCCTCCTCCCCTCTCTCAAGGTATTGTCACCAGGAGGCTGCTCCATGCACGATTGTAACCCACGCCCTGCTCTTTCTTTATAGGGCCCTCCAGGACCACCTGGCGCCCCAGGCCCCCCTGGACCCGGAGGCCCCCCGGTAAGCGTGGCTTTGATTTTCTTCTGCAGGGGCACTTAGGGGAGGGTTTCATGGCCCGTGGGAATAAGAACATCTCTGTGTGTGGCCATCTGTTTGTCCTTCGTCCAAGAGGAGAGCAAAGGCATAGACAAGGAGGACTCTTACAGCCACCCTCTAGCCTCTGGGCTTTCAGGCCCTGAGAGGAGACTAGAAATACCTCTTGAGCTCATGTAGCAGGTTGGTTGGCTGCTTCTAAGACAGACACGTAGGGGGAGGTATATTAGTCTGGGGATGCCCATTACTAGTTTGTGGTTTGGTGCTGAGACTAGACACTGGTCACATCCTCCCAACACACAATTCTGTGCAGCTGGGAAAGGTCCCCTGTGGGCAGAGGGGGAGGGTGGGGCAGACCCAGCACCCAGCACCCAGGGAGGCCATTCTGCCCATCCTACCAGGTTGGAGCCGATGTGGTGGTGGGCCTGAATGCAGACCAGACATGGAGTGACGACTCTGTGCTCCACAGTGGCCTTCAGTAAGGGCATTCAGAGGCCCTGAGGTGTATCCGCCGCTGCGTGTCCTCATCAGAGCCAGAGGCCTTAGACAGTGCCAGGCAAGACATTGGGAAAAAGGCCCTGATGCTCCACAGAGGCCAGACTGACCGTTTCCATGTGGTTCCCTTCTCAGGGTTTACCTGGAGAGATCGGCTTCCCAGGAAAACCTGGGCACCCCGGGCCAACGGTGAGTGTCCTGGAGTGTCCCCACCCCCATGCTTCCCTGTCCTCCATTGGTCTATGATGCGGATGGCTGGGCCCTTCCAGCCAGCCAGCAGGGCTGCTGGCCACTCGCTGTGCCCTTTCTTCCCCTGGCAGGGGGACTGAGGCCCTGGCGCCTGACCCTTTCCTCCTGTGGTGCCTTCCACGAGGTCAGTCCCCTGGGATTGCTCCCCACGGGGCCCCAGCCAGGGTGCAGATGGGGGCACCCTCTCCCCAGGCCACCACCTCTGGTCTCCTTACCCAGATGCAAATTCAGAAGCCCTTGCTGTTTAAAGTGTGGCTTCTTGTGCCTCCGGGACACGTGCAGGGGGCAGCAGAAGTAACAGACATGGCAGGACTCTCCCTGTTCTTGTCCTCATTGCGCTTCCTCACTCCCAAACTCAGAAGATCCTGGGGATCTGGGGGCCTTCTCCTGTCTTTTAAGTCCTGAGGCTGGGGCTCAGCAACCTTCCTGTCTCCACGTGCATAATGGGTGTGCCATTGAAGCAGGGTGTGTCTCCTAGTTGGGGCCCTACGCTCTGCAGGGCCCAGTGGTGGGGGTGGCTGGTGACACCACAGGACCACGTCATCCTCGTAGACCTGTGGATGACATGAGGCCTCCCTTCACTGGAAGATACTGCCCTACAGCTGGCTGTCTCTCCCGAGGGCCAGGGGGTGGGGAAGCCAGTGGAACCCCCAGCCCTGGAGGGGGATGCAGACAGCGGAGAAAAGGTAAAAGCGGTAACTCAGACTGTGTAGGTCCAGCAGCGGTGCCCCCTTGTCATTGGACCTTTGGCAGATCCACTGGTGGCTGTACAGCAAGGCCCGCAGGTGACAAGGGCTGATGGCTAGAATGGCGGCATTCTGAGCTCTGCAGAATACCGATGGATATGGACGTCCATGCAGGGGTGTGATGCTCACTCTAAGGGGACCTGATCCAAACCTGAAACACCTGCTCAACTGCAGCGTCCCCAACGGACACTCATGAGCACACGGTCACCCTCAGCATCCCCAGCAAACACGAGCACACGGTCACCTGCAACGTCCCCAGTGAACACACGAGCACACGGTCACCCGCGGCGTCCCCAGCGAACACTCACGAGCACACGGTCACCCGCGGCGTCCCCAGCGAACACTCACGAGCACACGGTCACCCGTGGCGTCCCCAGCGAACACTCACGAGCACACGGTCAGCTGCAGCGTCCCCAGCAAACACTCACAAGCACACGGTCACCTGCAATGTCCCCACCAAACACTCTCGAGCACACGGTCACCCGCGGCATCCCCAGCGAGCA